AGCATTCAGCAAAATATATTACTGTTCTGTAAATAGATTAATATCCCTTGCCTTGTCAGGAAGATTATGAATACTACTAACTTACAATGGTGTTTACAGGATTAGCTGAGGAAACAAAGAGATTTCTCTGTGAAATTCCCTTTTCTGCTACGGGCTTATCAAGATCACTTTGCATTTCTGTACCCTGTTTTTCACATTACAAATGCTGGTAACAATGTAGACATTGTGGATGTCGATAGGTTGCTATATACAGCATTGCACAATAAATTGATTTGCTATTTAGTTAAACCTAAAATATTTTCTCCTAGGTCAGATATTTATTACTCTAGCTGAGAGAATAGTGGTCATTAGAAATAGAAATTTGCTGCACAAGGCAACTTAGATTTTGGACATACCTCAAATGCTGAAGTATTTATGCTAAGTGGAAGAAGAAAGATATCCCCTTTTTAGTGGTCTTCACTGCCATGTGGACAGTTCGCTGCATGTTGGGCAGTATATTAGAGGTTGGCAATGGCAGTATCTTAGTTTCAAACAGTTTCTGAGCGATGAATTTGAATGCTGTTGTCCCTTGTTTTGCACTGATGTGGCTTCCTAAAAATGATTAAGAAGCACCCAAGCACAAAAATAAAACCTGTTAGGTTCTGTCCAAATTACTGCTGGGATTAGCCTAGCGTAATGATCACTTCTGAAGTCTGGAATAATACTGTGGAAGTGAGAGTCATATAATCTTAAATATTTGTGATATCCAGCTTGTTCTAAACATTTGCAGCTCCTGTTTCACTTTTCAGGACTGTGTTTCCTCATTTTCTAGAAGCAGGAGACTTTCACCAAGAAGACAGCAGGGATACTTAGCACTTGAATGGCACTTTTCACTTTCAAAATATTGTACAGATATTCAACAATTTTCCCCAAACTCATGCAAAAACTGGGAACTGAGGAAAATAACAAAAATGGAAATGGAAATTCAGTGCATATACCTTATGCCTCTGATAATCACACCTACTCCTGTTGCTATTTTTCTAAGAAGGGAACTAAATCATGATTTCACCACACCTGTTTAACTCGTTAGTAGCAAGCTCTGTTCCTTATTTCAGTATTTTGCCCACATCTCAGAGTAATCACTCAGTTTACTGTGTTTGTAACCTCAAAATATGTTATCTATCCTGGGTAACCCAGGGTTCTCTTTGTGAAAGGACTAGTATCAGAAGATACCGACCAGGAATTTTTCTGGTGCTAGTGTGATCACAATACTGGTGACAGCTCTAAAACAGAAGTTAAATGATTTAAACTTATTTCCTTAGTTATTGAAAATTGACTATCCCAATTCAAAAGTAGACTTCATCAGCTTACTGGGGAAAAAAAAAAAAAGCCTTACTGCCATAGAGAAAGACTTGTAGATCTCTTGATTCTGTCCTATACGATCCAAAAAAGGCTGAACATTTGGTGCAAGTGGCTGAGTATATAAAACACCTGAAAGACAAAGAATTGTACTTTAAGATGCACATCTCTAAGTTGTGGAGAAGAAAAGGAGAAGCTGTTAGTATCCAAGACTGTCAGATAAATGCCATTAGAAAGCTCTAAGATTGAGATTATTATTCTTTAATACAGCAGTAAAAGACACTAAACATGAGTTATAGCCCAGTACCTTGAAGAACTGCCTGAACAACCTATGAATAGACTCATCCACATGAAAATGTTTAGTAATATTAGCAAGTTCAGAAAGCTTGTTAGCTCTGCTGAGCAGGCTCTCCAGTATCTGTACTATTGTGCTTGCATTTTGTGGATATGTCTCTATACTCGTCACAGAGGATTGCACTGTGGCATACCTTTATGGGTTAAATCCTCTGGCTTGTTTGAATTACACTAATTTGCAGTTTCTAGTAGATATCTCATTTTGGATCCTTCTCTAAAGGAAAATAGTGCTCATCTCTCAAGGGGTAATGGGTGGTCTGTGCAAGGGTGGGTTTCTTGCTGTACTGGGTTGCTTGAGTCCCCTCCTTAACAACTAATATTCAGCAAAGTTTTTACTGTTTTTTAACCTTTCCTCTGATAATCCCATGGCATGGCATAACGTATCTAAAGTGTCTAGCATACCTTAGTATGTTATCTGGGTAAAGAAGCGCTCATCTCTCAAGGGGTAATGGGTGGTCTGTGCAAGGGTGGGTTTCTTGCTGTACTGGGTTGCTTGAGTCCCCTCCTTAACAACTAATATTCAGCAAAGTTTTTACTGTTTTTTAACCTTTCCTCTGATAATCCCATGGCATGGCATAACGTATCTAAAGTGTCTAGCATACCTTAGTATGTTATCTGGGTAAAGAAGCTTGCATAGAATGAATAGACTTTACTGAGAGATCAGCTTGACTCTGATGAACATTTCAGTGCTTGCAGGATGCAACATGGTATCCTGTAAGACTTGGATGTCATTGTCTAAAAACAGTTCCTTTACCAAATGAGAGGTCTGGCTGCATTCATTTTGTGTCACTTCAGTTGACACTGAACAGATGCAGAGGTGTTATTTTTATACACATCTGCAAGACTGAGCACAAACAGAATGGGTGCTGTCCATCAGATAGAAAATTAGAAATGACATGTCAGCCTCTTAAACTTGCGCTTGCAATTGGACCTGGAGAGAGCCACATTGTACTTGCAGCCTGAGGTAGTGAGGATGAGTGTGCTCCGGTCACTCTGTTGCCCAAGGTAGTCATGTTCACTTCTACACGCATACAATGGTGCCTAGAGTGAAGATCTCTATTTGCTTTATAGCAGGGCCAACAGTGAACTTGCAAGAGTATGTTTTACAAAGCCAGAAATGTTACCAAATATGTAAGCTCAAATACAGCTGTGTTACCAACTTAAACCTGGCTCTTAATTTGAAATGTTTAGGAAAGAGCTCTGAAGTCAGCTCTTATGTCGTTTTCATTTGCTAATGGATTAATCAACATCTGTAGAGCATCAGCCACAAAATCTTTCATTCAATGGAAAGTGTGCTCAAAAATTCTCTTGTCTGAGATCTATAATCTCATTTTAATTAGCATTGCACATGATTGCTCCAATCAAAGCAAGTCAGTGGCAAACATTGCCATCTGCATTCATCGTTAACATCAGCTAGCATGATGGCAGTCTGAATTTACGTTAATATGTGAGCTCTGAGGTGCAAGTGCCTGTTCAAGGACAAAGAATACTGCCCTACTTTCTTTCTGCTACTTAGCTTTTGAAACACTTTAGTCTTAGAACTTGCCAAATAAGGAACATTTCCAGTCTGGCATGCATTTTGCATCTGGGATGCGACAGTCTTGCTACAACAGAAGATACTGTCCTTCATTTTAAGTGATTTAATTATGCCTGAAATCGGGATTGTATGACATCTGCCCAGCATTCACCATGCTTGCCAACCGTGTGGTTAGGGGTTTTGATATGTTGATAGGCTTCCACTGCAAGGTACGCAATTATTCAGTGATTTTTTAGGACAATGACTGTTCATTACAGTGTAAAACTCTGACTGCTGCATGCTGAAAAGGGCAATACCAATGGGATGTGTTGTATGTCCGTTTGTGTGTGCACTGCCATTTTCCAGAGATCGGGTGTCATTAATTGGTTAAGAAGAAGTGTCTAATGACATTTAGCTGCTTCTTCATCAAATGTCCTCACAGAAAGCTGTATTTGAGAAGCAGCTGATGACCTGATACTGATAAGAATCCTTTATGAATGTAAATATTTAATAAGATATAGCCAAGATTTTAATGGAACTTTTCCACTGCTAAGCCATTAATTTTTTTCAAAGGTTACGTGCATTCCAAGAACATTTACCAAGAAAGGCACAAGCATAGCTAAGCTTATGGATTATGTAAAATTCAGCAGTCTTCATCCTCAGTGAAGGGAATTATCTGGGCGTTTCTGAAGATGTTAGTGCAAGACTGTAAACTCTTTAGAAGACATATTTCAAGTAGCATTTTTCCTCCTCCTGAACTAGGCTTTCCATGCAGAATGAGTGCTTATGAGAGCTTTAAATTATTTTGGTTGTGTAGTCACAACTCTGATAACTTCTTTTAAAGTTCTCCTCATTATAAGAGGTAGCCTTGAGTGTTTTAAATCTACCCATAAAGCTGCTATAATCATTCTTTGCAATTACACTACAATGCACAACAATTAATTACATCAAATCCTTCTCACAGAAGTGTTTACCAGTTAAGAGATTGCCAAAGCTTTATTTCTGACAATAAAAGAGTAGGAATCATCAGACACCTCTTGGGATTTGACTGATCTAAGATTTCTGTAGCCAGGATTATAACCTATTATTTTCCCAATAGGAAATAAACAGCAGTTCTTGACAGGCGTGATCTTTAAATAATCTTTTATATGGGAAAAATATTCCCAAGTATTTTTTCCCGTAAGAAATCAAGAACTGGATTTTTAGTTAGGTAATTCCAATGAGTGACCTGCACTTGTTTACAGCATTGCTGGGATTCACGTGCAGGGTCTTCTCCTGAGAAACTGGGGTACATGTACCCTGAAGACTGCTGTTGTAGGTGCCAGGCATAGGACTGGATGAGACTGAGAATTGGTGCCATTGTAACTTGGTCCCTTGTGTTTAGTCCTCCCAATGCACCCCTGTTGGCCAGACATCCCCCTGTTTGAGCACAAGGAAGTGTGAGAAAACCACAAGACCAACAGCCGAACATGACTGTTGGAAAGGTGACCAGAGTGGCTTCTGGCTACCTGGTTTGTTTACTAGATGCTTTGCTATGGTTCTTCTTTGTTAAGTCAGACAGTAAATACCATACTTTACCATTCAGTTTCTCTTAAAAATAATTTTAAAATATATATTAAAAAAGAGGTTTATGTAAAGATTAACTTCACAGTGGAAATTTTTCCTCTGAGCTCCTTTCTCTTTGGAAAGGAGCAAGGGTTAGCTGTAACATAAAATACGTTTAATTGTTCAGAAGTAAATGTTCCCAAGACCATATAATCACCTATCTTCGTATCTTTATTTCCTTTCACAGAGCCATGTTTGACTATGACAAAAGCAAAGACAGTGGCCTCCCAAGCCAAGGACTGAGTTTTAAGTATGGAGACATCCTTCATGTCATCAATGCCTCAGACGATGAATGGTGGCAGGCGAGGAGGGTCACTCTGGAGGGAGACAGTGAGGAGATGGGAGTTATACCCAGCAAGAGAAGGTGAGTGCTGCCTCCTCCTTATTACCTCCTTAAGTATTGTGTTCAAATATTTCGTTTTTTTCCCAAAGACAGGGTGAGTCCATCTACTGAAAAACTGGTGAAAGTAGAGGAAAATCCCACAATTATTTCAAGAGTTGGAAGATACAATCTGTGCGATTTAAAGAGTTCAGGCTGTTCCTGAAAAGGAACTCAAAAGGTGACACAATTTTAGGGGATTAGTAACTTTACAAACAAAGGGGGAAAGGAGGAGAGAGCACTGTCTACTAAAGAGTAACCAGAAGCCAAGTCTGGGAATTAGCTCTGAATTTGAAGTGGAGCACATTTTTAATGTCAGGGTTATTAGCCATTGCATCAGACTACTGAAGGATGTAATGAATGTCTTGACATTTTCAAATCAAGACTGTATGTATTTCTTTTGAGAGATAAATAGAATTAAAATTCTCAGCCTGGGTGATGTAAAAAATGATGCTAAATTATATAATGGTCATCTTTATCTTCAAAATCTGTTAATTTAATCTCTGTCTGCCTGGAAACTGATGGATAATCAATATCACAGTAAATTTTTCATATCATGCAAATGAAGAAACTTCCATCTGCTCTCCAAGATAAATCTGAATCTTTGTTTGGCTGTGATGGATTCATGGTGACTGTCAGAGAAAGAACAGATATCTGAATCTCCCCCACTGTTTGTGTTGTTTATTCTGTCTAGATGCTTTTGTAAAATTGGCCACAAGACTCTGATAGTATCAGAACTAGCACACAAATCAGTATTACTTTCTGCCTATGTTGATAGTTGCTATAGAAAGGTCAGGAACTGAACGGGTAGGAGGAAAATTAAATCTGTCAAAACTCATTACATTTCTGTTTTGCAGCAGTGCTCTCATACTGCATATAAACTTTCCATTCCTAACTATTTCAACTTCAGCATTAATATAAAAATGATCATGCTCATTTTTTAGAGTGGTGAAATAACATGTTTGATGCTCTATAGAGCACCTGCTGCTGTTTCAAGAGAATTGGCCCATGTACTATAGAGCTTATGGTACTCCTTGTTCTAAATCATGTAAAAGTAAACTGAAAGGCCATCAAACACCTTGTTGACATGAGCCCTGCAACGACCTTACTTTCTCTAATCATGATCATGTTTGAATAGCAACCACACCAGGATTTTCAGTGAAGAGCAGTTTTGGTGTTGTACAATAGACACAAATAAAAACTAGGTTATAACTTTTAAGATGGAAAAATGTGCCCATTAACCAGATTTAGTCTCTAGATATTGAAAAAGGAGTATTTGCCTGGTATTACTTGCTACGGTAAATACTGTTGTAATGATCTGATTGGATCATACATGGGAAAAAGAGGAAAGTTTATTCAGTTAATACTGAGGAAAGTATGTGCACAAAACTCACTTGGAGAGTGGTGCCTACTATGAAAAGCTACAAAAAGCTCTTATACATAATAAAACAACTGTAGAGGAAAAAATGGAAAAGCAAAGCAGCTAATAAAGATGTGCAGTTGTGTATTCTGTGAGATAGAGAGGTTATATGTGCCTAAAGATTATTGGGTTACTCACACAGTGGTGTTTTCAAGGACAAAAGATAGAGGTTCTCTAATCATGATCAGACATATAATACTGCCTAGGAATAAGATGTGGCTTAGGAAACACTGGGAGAAAACAGAATTAGAAATAATAATAAAATTAAATAAAATAAAAATTTAAAAACCAACAACAGCAAAAAGGAAAAAAGGAAACAAGATGAAAATAGGTTGATTTGTCTAGAAGTGAGAGTATTGAATTTTAAAAGATGCAGGTACAGTTGCCATGCTCTTCACTTGTCATCCTGATTCTTCACTAGTGAATCTGAGAAGCCTGAAAAAAATCAATGGCATCTGATTTTCTGTCTGCATTAATGTAATGATATGATACACCTGAGCTGGGGTGGGAAGAGGTTACTGTTATTTCATAAAAGGTTTCAGTTATACAAGGTTATTTTTTCCAATGCATTGAAAAGTGAGTGTTATTTCCTTTCTGTGGATTCTGGACGGTTCCTCTGAGCCAGTGAGACTGATATGCTCTTGCCAGCATCTTCTGTGGTCATTTACACCACCCAAAGGGAGGATGAGCAATCAATGCACACAGGGCTGAGTTATGGGGAATAAAGCTCATCATACTTGCCAGAATGTGGCAATTCAGAGTTGAGTTTCCTCTGCAGGTGTGGGTTATTGACTATGAGAGGCTTGATCTAAAACAGAGCAGCTCTGGGATTCATTTGACCAAATGTAGGCAACTATGGCATGGAAACCTTCATGTAAGATGTTGACTCCAGGATGCTTTGTATCCGATAGTTTGTATGGGATTGTTTATATAGGCACTGGTATATGTAATACAGCATATGTAACATCTAGCAGTAAAATACTGTGATAGAAAGGAGGAAAAGAACATTGTAGCTATTTGTCAGGCTGTGACTTGTCCTGCAAGTCCAACTTCTTATGATGTTGTAAATTGAAGAGATTTTATATTTGTTTTATACTTTTTAATCCCCCATTCATTTCTGTCCCTTTTATTTAAGGTCTGGAGGCTTACTGGGGCTTGATTTGGTGGGGGTCAAGTTTGGTATTGTGCTCAGACTCCTTTTTCTGCCTGTGGGACTGGAACATTTTTGCACTTTGGGTCAGGGAGGGGCTATACAGACAAAGGGATTATTAGTGCCAGGGTGAGTCTTTTAGCTATCTGCTTTACTACCTTAACTCCTGACCAGCAACAGCTAAGATACAGTTCCTGCATTTTCCACATGTAAAAGCATTATGGAATAGCTCTGAAAGCCAGTGACCACTTCAAATTTATTTTTGAGATATATAAATATATATATACACACACATATGTATGTGCACAAATATATGTGTATATATATGTATATAAACACATAATGCCATAACAAGTATATTATATGACTTCTTTAAAGTGCTGTGTAATGGTAATTGCATTCCATGTATTTAGTTTTCTACTTTTTTGCATCCTTCTACAAGAGAGCCCTTCATATAGTGACATTTTAGCATAAGCTGATTAGAGAAATTTTGAATTATAAATCAAGGCTCCTTACTCTTTTTCTCCTCTATGAGATATGTGATATTCCAGAAGAAATCATAATTTAGAATTATAAGGGATCTGCCACTCATTATTCTCTCTTAAATGTTGGATACATTACCAGACTTTACCTCTTAGTGATTCAATAGAGTTTGAAAGCTTATTTGTCATTAGATTTCAGAGCTGCTGCCAATGTGTGGACTTGTTGCCTTGTTTATATCTATATTGTAAAGTCAGTCTTTAAGAAGGAGTTCTGGAGGTTGGCACTGCAGCTAGAGAAGGGTTCCTGGAACAAGCAGCACAAAGAAATAAGTGCAGCCCCATGTTTTTCCACTGCTTTGTGCAAGGTCCAAATCTCATGAACCAGTGAGCCAATTACTTCTGTGGAGATTAATGAAAATTAAATCCTCAGTATCTTTCAGTTCTTAAATATAATTGTAACCATTTCAACATCTGAAAACAATATTTTGCCCATTTGTCAGTATGTGTTTATTGCCTGATTAAAGCTGTTATTCTCAACCATGGGGCTGAGTAGCCACTTGGCTAGAAATCAAATGTAATGCTATAAAGGTGATGTGATATTGTATCACATTGGTGTTGGGTAACATAGAGCTTCAGCATGGGAGACTGCAAACCACTGCAGATGTGGTTTAACAGTCACCAAATCATTATTATATAGCGTTAAGTAAAAAACATTTCAGGCTAAATTTCTCTTGGTCCCACATCTGCCCAAAAGATTTATCCAAGCTTTGTTTAAGGTGACAGCAGGGCACAATTATACCAGGCAGGGTCTCCAAGGTGAGAGGACATAGCTACCAGGTCTAGACCAACATCTCAGGCAGCCTCTAGTATTATCTGTGCACTATGTTTATGTATATGAATTGCTCCCTTATCACTGAAGATTACTATTTTTACTAGAATGACCAACAGAATTAGATTTACACTAGATTTTTGTTACATTTAGTTGTATATAGATTTAGATTAGTTTCTACATATGCTGTGCTTTTGATCATGAGTATTTTTATTTGCCTCATTGTCTTTCCTATTATCCATGAATCTATTATCCATATTAAAAACAAAAACAAAACCAAAAGCAAACAAACAAACCAAAGCAAAAAAAAGCCACAAATTCAGCTTCCCACAAAAGGGAAGCTGAAGCAAGCTGAGCAGCCTATGTCTAGGATTTTCTCCCCATGGAAACACTCACATCAGTTAAAGGGAGGGAACAAAATGCATGAAACCAACGTGCATGAGTTAGAGTGTATAAAATTCCTAGACAGATGCTCTAATTCAGTAGTAAAGAGATTTTCATTTGCTGTAGCATTGATTTTACACCTCCAGTTCTTTTCACTTTTTCTTTGCTGTGTCTTCGCACCCAGACAAGCTCCTACCATTGCTAGGCCCCCCCAACAGTAACCTCCCACCTCATGAATATCAAGCTACAGTATTTCTATGACCTGTGTGTCTGCTTGACTTGCTGCTGTGGGTCTGAAACACAGCCTGAGATTTCACACAGACTGCCCCAGAGCAGCCAAGTATAAATTCTCACCACTTTTACTACTGCTCCCACTGCAGCCAAAGATGATTTGATCCTGAAACACTGAAATAATTGCGCTAATTTTTCTGTTGTCTTTAAGATTTGCAGTCATAAAACTGCTGTCAGACTGGGCATCACCCTCAGACACCCATTTTTAGCTAGTCTAAGTACATTTGACTACAAAATGTTATGCAACTTGTATCTCTGTTATTACCAGCTGGAGGTGTATGATGGTACCAGCCTGATATTTGTGTTCTCAAATAGACAACATTCTCCCCACAAATACATGTAACTACGTTGTCCTTTCAGAGCAAAGTAGGGGGAAAAGTACATAAAAACTAATGTTTCACAAACATTTAAGGACAAGGAACAAGAGGTTTTCCCAGCACAGCAGTCCCCATGGGCAAAAAGCCAACTTAAATTTGTTATTCTGCTCAGCTTGGCAGAAGGGCATGTTTATCCACTCAAGTGAGTTTCATTTTTAATGGTTTCCTATAAATTGTCTACCTTTCTAAACATCCCTGAAGATTTTAATCCTTAGATAATAAAACTTTTTAACATGGCGTAGTCATGTAAGCTTTGTCTAAAATAAGTTATCTGACTATACTTACTAATCCAATTGTAAAAATTAAATATGGAATAAAATTGGTGTATGTGTATCTATAAACCTCTTCCTGTGCTCTTGCAATGATGGGAAACTTTTGTGCTGAAGGAAAACACCTATCAGCTTTTAAACAGTAGTTCTACAGTTAAATGAGGATTCACTTCCTAATGTCATTAGGTCTAATCTTTTCGTAAATATTGACCAGGTGCTAAGCTACTCTCTAAAACTGAGTCACTGAAGGTGGAGAGCTGAACCAGGACATGTTCTCTCTTCCTGAAAAATACATGTTCTGTTGCAAAAAAAAAACACTTCAGGAATGCTCAAAGATAATTTTGAGAGTGGTAAACTCAGACCTCACATAAACAAGACTAAGCAGTGCAGAGAATGAAAGCAGTAAAAAACTATGGACTGAGACCACATATTTGGGCTATAAATGTTAATATATAATTTCACTTCTCTTTCACTTGATGGGCAGCAAAACAAATATAAGGCAGATGACCTGGAAATGGTGAAAGAAGACAAGAAGAGACATGTTAATCAAGATGTAAAATATAGCAAGGTCTTTCAAGTATCCATTTTACATTGCCTTCTTCTATTTACTAACTCTTTACTACATATTGGGTTTGGAAATAACTTTCATTCTGCAGAATACCTCAATGCCAAATCTGTGAAAATTAGGCTACTGTTACCATTTTATTTCATATTTGAAATCAGTTTCCAATTTGTATCTGTATTCTACATCAGTGATGAACACTGTTATTGAAGATTAAAGCATGTCTCACTTGATATCTTACATCTCTGTGGTGAAGGCTAATTAGTGCTTTTAGAAAGGCACTGACAAAACTCCCCGTAGTCCATTAACCTTCAACAACAGGGGATCACAGTTCATGTCTTGTTGAGCTATACTTGATTTCTTCTTGTTTGCAGCACACATGAAGAACTGAAAGTCTCATTTTGAAAAATCCCACAGGCCCATTTTCAACAGCTACATATGCCCAAAAAAACAATTAGGCAGTGCAGTGAGTGTTGCATCCCAGTAATAAGCTCCTCAGAAGAGCAGGAAGAGAACAGCATCCCAAAGAACTGAAGTCTTGAACTTGCTAGTGAGGGAACACTGAAGGCTGAGGTATATTTTCAAGGTAGTGCTCTACTTCTTTAGCTTCACGTGGGAAGAAGAGAGTGAATCCTGACCAGTTTGGGCAAAAAAGGGACCAAGAGGTGTTGCAACCAGGAATGTTTTCAAGAGAAAGTGAATATATAGGGTGTACTCCAACTGTCCCAGATCTCAGATGGTCTTAGATCATTTCCCTGTACACAGCAGTGTTTCTACAGGGAGCTACACTTGGACAGTGGATGGGAAGCTGGAGGTGAAATCCTCATTAGTTGTGCTAGGTGATGCTGCCTCCACATAGGGCTCAGAGCTTTTCATCTCCCAAGTCATGTTTGAATGCTAGATGTAGGTTTCTTTGGACATTTCTTGAAATATGTTTGAGTTTCAGTGACCCCTGCCCCAAGCACTTTTGAAAATGGGACTCAAGCCATGAAGTTGTTTTGGAAATCATATCCATGCTTTCCTCATGCCTTAGGCATAGCTCTATTGAGCAAACATATAATTAGAAAGGGGCAGAGAAGCAATGTGGACATCAGGCAAGACAGGGTTGCAAATCTGGGCCTCTGCAAATTTGGCAGATACGAGTCCTCCTCCTTTGCTTCATGTTTCTGCACAACTCACCATAATCCTGCTTTGTGCAGCAGTGGTGAATTAAAAATAGTTACCCTTTGAAGTGAAACATTTCTACCTTTAAAAGCAATTTCTTCAGCTGATGAATCAAAACGTTGTCCAAGGGATGGTAGATTTGCTGCCAACTAAAGCAATGTAAGGAATTTACACTCATGTGCTATTTAGGTATTCACAGTGTCAGCTGCAGCAAATAACCCTTTGGGCCTCAACTCCCTTTTTCTTGGGGAAAAAAATGCAATTGAGTTTATTTTTCCTTAAATATTGCAATTACAAACCTGAAGGCTCAAAAGAAGTGCTAAAAGTGCTTGAAATAGTGTTCCTTTAAAAGGTCTGTTTTCTGAGACCTGGATCAATGAATCTAAAAGAACTGATATGCAAAACTTTGTATCTTAATCATTTTAGTTCCCTTTTTGACTCTGTCCATGGCAAAAGTGTCCCGGTAGCTCAGATGAGAAATTCTGAGAACATCTTAGTTCACTGCAGTCCTGCACCCCGACAGTCTCAACAAAGACTATATCTTTGGAGAACTAAGATAAGTTCCAACAGAGTTCTCCAGAGCATGTAAAACCAAAGCTTCTCAGACATTTAGGTTGATTTTTTCAGGAAAAAGAGAAGTATATTCTTAACATCAGAGCCAAAGACATGAAGGCACCTGAGCTGAAGTACTTTTAGAGTATATTATAATTTGGACAAAACCATTTATTTTATCCTAGCCTTCAACCAACAGCTAACCCATTTTATTGGCAGTTCAGGCAGCAAAAGCAATGTAATCAGCAAGGCACAGGAAATTTCAGCTTGGAAGTTTGCTGTTCAGCTAAATTATAAGTAGCTGAGAACAGTTTTATTGTGGAAAGTGGCCAGAAAATTGTAATAGGAGGCAACACTCTGTGCTACCCTTAATAGATTGTCAGATGATGAAATGTTTGTAATATTCAGTAAGCATGCTAGGCATATATGAACATTGTTGGTGTGTTTGCCTGGAGGATTAATGGCACTTAATGACACTATTTATATACTTCTCAAAGCAATGCAGAATGTTTCTGCAGCTCCTTGTCTGTCTGCTGTGCCTCTGGAAAGCAGTGATACCTCCATGGCTGCTAACACAATTATGATAAACTTCATAAATAAGTTTCACTCTTCAGGGTTTATTTCCAAATTTCTTTATGCAGTGAATAAGAAATGAAGATAAAAGCAGATGTTTTAGGAAGTTAGACAGGGCTGGAATGAGTTTAAATGTTAACACAGATTAATAAGTAGAATATTGTGTTCATTTTGGCTAATTATTTTCTCAGAAGACATCCATCCTATTTAGGCAATTACACAGCCTCAAGTCTTCATTTCTTACTGGTACTACCAAGGGACTTCATCTGCTAGGTTAAGTTTGAGACTGTTCATGTGTTTTTAATAACATAGATTTAATTTGAAAGCTGTATTTGAGCTGTTTCCATGTGAATATTCCACACATACAGAGAAATGCATTTAATCTAAATTTAAACTGTAGCTATGGTAACCAACATTCACTGTGTTTCAGTAGGACATATATAAGCCCACTCAGACAGAAGGAAACATGTTGTGTTAATTATCATTCTATCAAAACACTGGAGTTTGTATTTTTAAAAATAATTATCAGAAGCTATGTATTCTTACCACCCAGATGTAGAAACCAAGAGATTTGCAGGAATGTATTTCAATGTTTGTGGGAAACTGTGGAAGTTAGAAAAAAAAAGGCCATATGTGGATCAGTTTGGAGGCTATAGAACTAAATTTTTTCCCAACTGTTTATAGTCTAATAAAAACACAGTATCAAACTCTTATAAGCCAGTTTTGCAGGATTCAACTTAGATTTCCTAGAGCAATTCTCAATCTTAGACGAATAGGGTTAGTGTTTCAATTACAGGTCGATGATCGGATTTTTTTCACTTGAGCCAGGAGATGAAAGATTCTGTAGATGATTTTGCAAAGGTAGGAAATGTCACCTTTACAGTAATGTCCATATTAATCAAGGTGAGTAAGGATATGAACAGCCTCATAGAATTATGGGATTCACTTTCCCTTATTTGTATGATCTAAAATTTACTCCACTGTAAAGTGCACTGAGCTGCACAGCTTATTCTCTCTCTGTCCTTGTTTTATTCTTCTGACCACAGAAGAACTCTAAATGTTGCCTGATTTTTGGACAGCTTAGAGAGGGTAAATCTGTCCCTAGTGTGCTTTTCCCACATTCCTGTGTGTGTTAGGAGACAGTGCTGTTCTGATGGTGTAGGACAGCAAAGGCTCCTCGAAACCAGTTTTGGATTTGCCAGAAAACTGCTGCTTGGCTGAGGAAGTGATCTGACATCTCTCTCTTTCCAGTTGATGAAATTTGCTTTAAATGCTTGCTTTATGTAATGTATAGTAAGTCACCAATGGTCTTGGGAGAGCAGATATCAAATGTATCATAAAAAACACTGCTATAATCAACATGTGCTTCTTCATTTGTGTTTTCTTTGCCCCAGAGTTGAAAGAAAGGAGCGTGCACGTTTGAAGACGGTGAAATTCAACGCGAAACCTGGTGTAATTGATGCAAAAGGGGTACGTAAATAGTGACAACTTTTGAACTTACACTTAGCAATTTTTTTATAAGTTTCAAAGTAGAAAAAATTTTAGCAACAGAAGGAATATTTAGGTTGTTGCAACCAAGACCTGCACGTATAGTGAAATGCAGATAGGAGATTAGTATGATATAATCTTTGAAATAATTAAGTATCCTTTTTATAATAATACTGAATGACAGTACCTCCTGATGGGAAGAAAATAAATGATGGATAGAGTAGAAAATACTTTAAAAATGAATAGAGATGGATAATAGTTTAATGAAACAGGGCCAGAAGTGTCAGTTCCCTGGCTACAAAAGCTGTTACAAACCAAAGGCTGAAAGTTAAGGAGCCCTGGATGCAAAAATTTATGTTTCAGATATTTTGCTTTGACAGTTGTGACAGACATTGAACACAGGTGTGTTTCACAGCAGGCACAACAGCCAACAAACACAAAACATGCAAGTTCCCTTCAACCAGCACTGCTTGGACAGAACAGCATT